AATGGGGCAATAACTTGTACCCATCAAGTTTCCCCATAAAACGGTTTAATGTGTTGGATCAGTGCCAGTAGGTCAGCTAAGGAAGTGAATCAAGGAGGCATCATTTCACATTTATCAGAGAGCCACACTGCATTAGGTCCTTATAAAGAACTTACTTAAAAATTAGCTTCTTTTAGGAACTTAGATTCTAAACATAAAGGACACATTAACATTTCAAAATATAAAGAAGTACCTATAGATATATTGACCAATTTTAATAATGTTCCTTTTATCTGTATTTGTTTTGATTAATATGTTTTATTTACTTTCTCTAGTTCCAAAGTAATACATAATCATTACAGAAAATTTTGAAGATAAAAAAGTCCTAACAAAATTAAATAATCACCCACAATCTCAATACCCAAACACATGTAACAGGAGCCTTTTATAGTTTTCATGATTTATGATCTCCACTCATAGTAAAAGAAAAAAATATTGGATTTCTAGCAGAATTTTTCCCAAGGAGAAAATTGTCTTTGTTTAGGGACACACCTAAGTGGACACATTTGGTTATATACTTGAAGCCACAGGATTGACTTGAATCATCTAAGATAATGCAAAGGAATATCCGGATGACCCTGCCTCAGAAATAGAAAGAAAAGCATATTCTAGATGGAGAGGAGCAAAGGAGAGAAAGTGCACCTCCGGCATAGTAGAAGTCTAGTGTCTAAGTGGGAGAGTTAACCAATAATTTTTAAGGCAGATCTGTCTGAAACATAGAAATGTTTAACAGGGTTTTTTTGTAATTATTATGGGTACATAATAGTTGTATATCGTTATAGAGTTTGTGTGACGTTTTGATATAGGCATGCAGTGTGAATTAATCAAATCCAGGTAATTAGGGTAGCCATCACTTCAGGCATTTATCATTTCCATGTGTCAGGAACATTCCAGTTCTACTCTATTAGTTATATTAAAGTATACCCCAACTTATTGTTGATTATTGTCACTTTGCTGTACTGTCAAATTTGGTCATTTTGTCTAAACTATATTTTTGCACCTATTAACCATCTCCACTTTATCCCCCCCTCTCTGCTACCTTTCCCAGCCTGGAGTAACCATCATTTACTCTCTGTCTCCATAAGATCAATTTTTTTTTAATATTTAACTCCCACATATGGGCGAGAACATGAGAGATTTGTCTTTCTGTGCTTGGCTTATTTCATTTAACATGACATTTTCCAGTTCCATCCATGTTGTTGGAAATGTCACGATTTTATTCTTTTTGTGGCTATATAATATTCCATTTTGTATATGTACCATAGTTTCTTTATCCATTCATCCACTGATGGAAACTTAGGTTGATTCCATATGTTAGCTATTGTCAATAGTGCTGCAATAAACAGGGGAGTATAGATATCTTTTCAATATACTGAATTCCCCTCCTTTGGATATATACCCAGCACTGGGATTGCTAGATCATATGGCAGTTCTATTTTTGGTATTTTAAGGAATTTCCATATTCTTTTCCATAGTGATTGCACTAATTTACATTCCCACCAATAGTACAAGGATTGCCCTTTCTCCACATCCTTGCTAGCATTCATTATTGCCTATCTTTTTGATAAAAGACATTTTAAGTGGTGTGAAAAGATATCTCATTGTAGTTTTCATTTGCATTTCTCTGATAACTGATGATGTTGAGTATTTTTTCATATATCTGTTGGCCTCTTATATGTCTTCTTTTGAGAAGTATCTATTCAGATCCTTTGCCCATTTTTAGATTGGATTATCTGATTTTTTCCTATTGAGTTGTTGGAGTTCCTTATATATTCTAATTATTAATCTTTTGTCAGATTGGTAGTTTGCAAATATTTTTTCCCATTCTATGGGTTGTCTCTTCACTTTGTTGATTGTGTTCTCTGGTGTGCAGAAGTTTTTTAGTTTTTTATGATCCCATTTGTCCAATTTTGTTTTGGTTGCCTCTGTTTTGAGGGTATTACTCAAGAAGTCATTGCCCAGACCAGTACCAATATCCTGAAGCATTTCCCCAATGTTTTCTTTTAGTAGTTTCAGGTCTCAGATTTAAGTCTTTTATCAATTTTATGTGATTTTTGTATATGGCAAGAGATAAGGGTCTAGTTTCATTCTTCTGCATATGGACATCCAGTTTTCCTAGCATCATTCATTGAAGAAACTGTCCTTTCCCCACTGTATGTTCTTGACAACTTTGTCAAAGGTAAGTTCACTGTAGATCTGTGAATTTATTTCTGGTTTCTCTCTTCTACTCCATTGGTCTATGTGTCATTTTTTATGCCAGTACCATGCTGTTTGGGGTACTACAGCTCTGTAGTATAATTTAAAGTCAGGTAATGTGATTCCTCTAGTTTTGTTCTTTTTACCCAGAATGGCTTTGGCTATTCTGGATCTTTTTTGATTCCATATAAATTTGAGGATTTTTTTTCTATCTGTGAAGTATGTCATTGGTATTTTGATGGGAATTGCATTGAATCTGTAGATTCTTTGGGTAGTCTGAACATTTTAAGAATATTGATTCTTCCAATTCATGAGCATGGAATGTCTTTCCTTTTTTAGTGTGTCTTCTCTCTTTCTTCAGTGTTTTATAGTTTTCACTATAGAGATGTTTCATTTCTTTGGTTAAGTTTATTGCTAGGTATTTTATTTCATTCATTGATATTATAAATGGAATTACTTCACTGGTTTCTTTTTTATATTGATTATTATTGGCATATAGAAATGCTACTAATTTGTAAATGTTGATTTTGTATCCTGCAACTTTACTGAATTTGTTTATCAATTCTAATCTCTTTTTTTTTTGGTAGAGTCTTTAGGTTTCTCTAGATATAAGATCATGTTGTCTGTAAACAAGTATAATTTGACTTTATAATTTGGATGTCCTTTATTTCCTTTTCTGATTGCTCTAACTAGAATTTCCAGTGTTATGTCGAATCACAGTGATAAAAGTGGGCATCTTTGTCCTATTCCAGATCTTACTGGAAAGACCTTCAGTTTTTCCCCATTCAGTATGATACTAGCTGTGGATCTGTCATATATGGCTTTTATCATGTTGAGGTAAGTTCCTTCTATACCCAGTTTTTTGAGAGTTTTTATCATGAAGGGATGTCGAATTTTATCAAATGCTTTTTCAGCATCAATTGAAATAATCATGTGGTTTTCATTATTTATTCTGTTGATATGATCTGTCACATAGATTTATTTGCATGTGTTGAACCATACTTGCATTCCTGGGATGAATACCACTTGATCATGATGAATAAACTTTTTAATGTGCTGTTGAATTAAGTGTTCTAGTATTTTGTTAAGGATTTTTGCATCTATGTTCATCAGAGATATTGGCCTATAGTTTTCCCTTTTCAGTGTGTCTCTATCTGGTATTGTATCAGAGTAATACAGGCCTCATAGAATGATCTTGGGATTATTCTCTGCTCCTCAATTTTTTGGAATAGTTTAAGTAACATTGGTATTAGTTCTTCTTTGACTGCTTGGTACAATTTAGCAGTGAAACCATCAGGTCCCGGGCTTTTCTTTTATGGGAAACTTTTATTACTGTTTTCATGTTGTCACTTATTATTGGTTTTTTCAGGTTTTGAATTTCTTCCTTTTTAAATCTTGGTTGGTTGTGTCTAGGAATTTATCCATTTCTTCTAGGTTTTCCAATTTATTGGCACATGGTTGCTCATAGTAGTCTCTAGTAGATCCTTTGGATTTCTGCAGTATCAGTTATAATGTCTCCTTTTTCATCTCTGATTTTATTTATTTGGGTCTTCTCTCTTATTTTCATAGTTAGTCTGGCTAAAGTTATGTCAATTTTGTTTAACTTTTCAAAAAAACCAACTTTTTGTTTTGTTGATCTTTTGTACTTTTTTGTTTCAATTTCCTTTATTTCTGTTCTGATCTCATGGTTTCTTTTCTTCTACTAATTATGGATTTGGTTTGCTCTTGTTTTTCTGGTTCTTTGAGATACATTGTTAGGTTGTTTATTTGAAGTTTTTCTACTTTTTTAATGTAGGCATTTATTGCTATAAATTTTCCTCTTAGTTCTCACTGCTTTTGTTTTATCCCATAGATTTTGATATGTTGTGGTTTCATTTTCATTTGTTTTGAGAAACTTTTCAGTTTCCTTCTTAATCTCTTGATTGACCCACTGCTCATTCAGTAGTATATTATTTAATTTCTGTGTGTGTGTATATTTTCCAATGTTCTTCTTGGTATTGATTTCTAGTTTTGATTATGATCAGAGAAAATACTTGGTACGGTTTCAATTTTTTTGAATTTTTTAAGACGTGTTTTGTGGCCTAATAGATGGTCTATCCTCAAGAATGATCCATGAGTTGAGGAGAAGAGTATGTAGTCTGTAGATGTTGAATGACACATTCTGTAAATATCAATTAGGTCCATTTGGTCTATAGTGCAGATTAAGTCCAATGTTTCTTTGTTGATTTCCTGTCTGGACGGTCTGTCCAATGCTGAAAGTGGAATGCTGAGGTCTCCAACATTTACTGTATTGGAGTCTGTCTCTCTCTTTAGCTCTGATAATATTTGCTTATATATATGGGTCCTCCAGTATTAGGTACATATATATTATATTTAAAATTGTTATATCTTCTTGCTAAATTGTCCCCTTTATCATTATATAATGACCTTCTTTGTCTCTTTTTACAGTTTTTGTCTTGTAATCTATTTTATCTGATAGAAGTATAGCTACTCCTTTTTGTTGTTGTTGTTTGTAGTTCCATTTGCATGGAATATCTCTTTCCATCCTTTTATTTTCAATCTGTGTGTCTTTATAGATGAAGTGGGTTTCTTGCAGACAACCCATAGGAAATCACCCAGCCCAGTTAGTATAGGATGTCTCCCTTAGCATGTAGAATTGTTGCTAATAAAGAAGATTAGAAAAAGAAATGCCTAAATTTTAAAAGATGAAAATAAATAGACATAAACAGGCAGGATATGGAAATCAATCTAGGTGGTATGCGTACCTTAGTGTCATTGCAGGTGGTAGTGAGATCTACAGCTTGTAGCAAAGATTAGGACCAGCTGTGAGCCACAGTGATGGCACAGGTTATAGGTGAACAAGAACAATATTCCTGTCAGCATCATCTTCGACCATGCAATCACACCCATATACAGTCTACCTGGAGAATAAAATAATTTTAACAGGGAAGGAAAGACATACAATGATATCTACTATTATGTATAGTTTCTAAATGACATGGAGATGAAAATCATTTTTTACCACTTGCTGTTTTTCTAGTGGGCTATATAAATGAAATTTTCAATGACAGCAACCAACAATGAGTAGAAGATGATTAAAATCAGTTAGGAGTGTGCTTGGCTGTTCTTAATAGAAAACCCAACAAACAATAATTAAACAATTATGGGATTTGTCTGCCTCACAACTAAGAGTAGAAAGTGGTTGCCTGACACAGTGCCTCAACGAAGCCATCAACACCCCTCCTCTTCTGTCTTTTGGAGTCCACCATCCTTGGTATGTAGGCCTTTTTCTCCGCATATCCAACCTTATGGTTGTCAGGTGGCTATGGCTTCCCTACACCCCACCTCAACATCCCAGGGAGAAAGAAGGGGACTGAGCAAAATGCCAAAAGGGCAGGTGAGCAAAATCTATCCTCTCTTAAGAAACTTTTTACGAAAGAGTCACCCAGCGTCTTCTATTTATACCCATTGGCCAGAATTGTGTCACATGGTCACTCTCAGCTGGGAGATGCAGGTATGTGGGTCTGAGATGGCCAGCCAGATGGCAGAGCCTGTCCCATCGCATAAAAGTATTTCCTTAGTGGCCATAGAGAGCTTTCACTTGGAAATAAATCACTGCTTCACAATCAAGCCCCCGGAATGAGGAAAAGGAGAAGGGAGAGAAAAGAGAGGATAAAGAAAAACATTTTCTCATGGAGAACATTTTCTTGATATGTGATAGCATTTATGGGACACCAAAACTATTTCCTAGTGAGAGAGTGGCATGTTTTTCCCTAGAGATTTTTAAGGGTTTTCAGGTGCAATGAAATGAATGGAAATGTTTTTGTAATTTATTTCCTACTGGAAAGCAAGGAAAGGGACAAAGTAGTCCCCTGAGTTGTCATTTAATCCCAATCTGTGCTTCTGGAATATTAGGTTTCTATCTTCTTATAACTGTTTGGGAATGTGTTCCTGGCAGTAATGAAGAGGCTCCAATTATAGGAATGAGGGGAAAAAATATGCTTAGATATTAAAAAATTAAAATATTGAAATATTCCCCAGAGATACACTAACTGCCATGGATGGTTTGATATAACGTCATTTTGCTTTTGGATGATAAATGCAGGATCAAGTTCTACAAGGGAGCTTCCTTTATAGACCCAAACATGTAAATCCAAGATGGGAGAAAAAAAAATCACAAAATATTTCAAGAACCTAGTCACCTAAGAGGGAATATTATCATCTCAAACATTCAGAGAAGACTATCCAATTGAGAGAGAGAATGTATATGTGTGTGGCTATGTTTATGTGTGTGTGTGAGAGAGAGAGAGAGAGAGAAAAGGAAGGGGAGAGAGAGAAGAAGACAGAACTGGGAGAGGAGAGCAGAAAAAAGACATAAAAATGTTTTCTATAAATAAAACTCTGAAAACACTGCCTTCTACTGTGCAGAAATTATTGACAGCAGCCTTATTTTGCTGAGCTAGCAAGATATCTATTCAGCAAATATCCTAACTACATAAGAACACATTGTCAAATTATTTAACTTTTGTTAATAACTGTTAGAAAACAGTACTTCTTTACAAACTGTTTGCCAGAAAGGCATATCTCTGGTTTACAAGTTCTCTTTCCCTGCTCTTGCTGCAGCTCCTAATTTCACCTCTCCCTGATCTAATGGGGTCTTCCTCTTACCACCCTTGGCTCCAAATCCCTGTTTAGCCATTTCTCTTTGTCCAAGAAGCTGTATTATAGCCCTGCAATCTTATGTGTACTTTCCCAGACCAAATATATTCAAGTGGTTCCCTCCAATAATCCTCTTGTCTAGGCCCATATAATTTATGAAAAGGAATCTTGTGAAGGCTTAAATGTAGTCTGTGCCATATTCAATTTAATTCAATAAATATTTATTGAATGCCCGCCTGGAATTGTACTATGCACTGTGTGAAATATAAAAGAAATATATAGCATCGTCCCTCTTGTCAAGGAGTTTGCAATATTCCTGGGAATAAAACTTGGATGCTGAAGTAATTACAGGATGCAAGATAGTATAGAGCAATGCAATAAAATTATGTAACCAAGACCAAAATATAAGGCACAGACAACATTATGTTTGGTCAGGGCAGGCAGGATGGAGCTGTAGGGAACAGTTCATAGAGGAGATGGAACTTGAGCTTGTCCTTGAGAGATGTATGGGCTCGGCTGCGAGCAGCAGCAGAGGAGGAGGGGACTTCAGGCAGTGGAAAGGGTGTGAGCAAAATCAGAGAGCGGCAGGCATAATATGTAAGGGGAAATGTGACTGAGGCCAGCCTGACTTAAGAGAAGGGGGAAGGAGGGTCACAAAGTTGTGTTAGAAAAAGCGGGACAGAAAGAATATAATGAAACCACAGAAAGCCTTGAAGGGCACAGTAACAAATTTGGACTTGAACCTCATGCTCTTAATCTCTCTGTATTGCTGCCTTGATGTTGTTCTGTCATTGCCATTAGAGAATTCATTCATTGACAGCCAGCTGAGAAAAGCAAGGGCTAGAGAGTGAGGAGGCCCTGATCCTGCCCCACGTGCAACCTGAGCGCAGGCAGCTGCTGGGGCTTCAGACTCACACCTATAAAAATGAGAAAATCAATGCCTAGGATTTGGGCTTGTTGTGAAAAATAGAGATTATGTGTATAATGTACCTTGTAGACACAAAAAGATGGAATGTTTTACCAGTTTCATTCATTCGGTAACCCGTTGTTGAAAGTCGACTACCATGTGCCACACACAGTTCAGCACTAGGAAAACTGAAACAAAAACCTGCAGTGCTTGTTCTCAAAACATGGACAGATATGGTTTAAAACAACAGAAAGACAGTAGCTTGGAGTGGCATATATTTGGCATTGAAACCCATTCCCACCATTTACTAGTTGTGTGACTTCGTGGAAACTATTTAATCACTCTGAGTATCAGTTTCATCATCGGTATAATTGATCTAATAGTATCTACCATGTAGGCTGATTTGAGGGTTAAATAGAAATATGTAAAGAAGCTAATACAGCGCTAAACAATTGGAGGCATTCGATAGAGGCTGTTTGTAGTATAGTGGAAAGGCAGGCATGAAAAATATTCTTATAACAAAAAGTAAATGACAGGGAAGAAGTTTCCACAGATGACATAGTCCCTGCTCTGTCACTTCAGTGATGAATAGGATTTGCTAAGTGGGCATGTACTGGAAGAGAAAACAGCATGTAAAAAGATAGAGATGTTAAAGGGACTGGCATATTCTAGGATGTGCATGCAGGTAACTCAGTATTGTTAGATTGTAAAGTTCAAGGTGATGAACGTCCAGATGAAAATGGCCAGATAGACATCATGAAGATCCTGAATGCCACAGAAAGGGATTTGGTGCCTATCCAATAGGCAATGAGGAGTCATTGATGAATGTTGAATAGTAAAGTGCCTTGATCAGTCCTTTATGTTGGAAAACTCAGTGCAATATGGAGGTGGAGAAGCAGGGAGAGTATTAAGGAGGCTATTGAAGAAATTCATGTGAAATGAGAAGATAGAGGAGATGGGTGATTATTAGAGAAATTTAGGAGTTGCTTCCAACAGAATTTGGTTTTGATTGGATTTTTAGAGGTGGGTAAGGATTAGCAAGGCATCTAGAATGCTTCTCCTTTTCTTGCTGGAAGGTGGTGCATTTCTTGAGATTGAGAATACAGGTGAGAAGCAGGTTTGGAATAAAGATGATAGATCCTATCTGGGATATAATGAACTTGAAATGCTTGTGGAATAGCCAAGTAGAGATTTAAACATACTGTTCCTGAAGTGCAGACTGGAAAACTGAACTGGCTGCTAAGGTAGTCTTGGAAGTCACTGACATCTATTGGGGGAGGTTAGCTATGGGAATGGACTCACCCAGGGAAAGGCACGAGAGAAGAGGCAGCCCTTCCTACCTAACCTTGATAATGGAGCTGCTCATGTAGACGAAACTTCAATCCTTTCGGGTAAAAAGATAAACCTCAGACGTAGAGTCCATGTAGGTATGCCCAAGGTCAAAGAAATCTATTTTCTGGCATGCTTTTTCTCTATATGACGTAAGTTTCATTTGTCTGAGAGAAATGAGAGGGACCACATGGAGAGCAGATCTTGGATACTGAGGGACTACATACAGGATGACAATTATAAACACACTGTCTCTAGGAAAACACTTCATTTACAAAGCAGATTTGACAGCTCAAGTTGCTTTTTGGCAGAGCAGTCCTGCCTGGCCCCTGTGCGACCCGGTGAGCTTCGATTACAGCGCTGATGCTGGCTCTACCACAGAGACCCCCTAAAAGGGGAGTGATAAATGAGGTCCTGTCAGGCTTCATTCCCTGGGTGGCCTTGAATCTCTGCCGTTATCTGTTACCCTGCCAGGACTGACAGTGATGAACACAAGGCAGGCAGCTAACGACACCCCGATTCATTACCCAAAAAGAAGGGAGAGCAGAAATAAAGGGAAGGTGACTGCCATGTGGAAGCTTCACTCCCATCAGTGCCGTCTTCCTCGCACAGCTCTGGATGGTGAAGAAATGATGGAGCCCGTTTGTCTCAAACAAGGGCTCTAATGATACTCAGAACAAAACGAGTCACAAGGAAGCTTGCCTGGAAGACTGTGCATCAGCCTCCTCATGGTAAAGTCTTTCACAAGCCTTAAAAACAGAGAAAATATTTAGCAGCTTGTTTGGTTTTTTTCAGCCCACTCTTAAGACAAACATAAAAAAAATCAAAGACACATCAAATCATCAATCCATATGGCTTTCCCATACTAAATTGTTATTCATTTCAGGAGAGTGCATAGTTTCTGTCTGTAAGATTATATTAAGCCTGTTACTTTATAATATTGAACACGTTAGACAGACCTAACCATTGCTTCCCATATAGATATTTATATGTTTAAGTGGTACCTGGTTCCTCCCTAAGAAATATTTCACCAAGGTTTTTATTTCAACTGTTTTTTTTTTTTTCTGACCTAATAGGAAATGAAGGCTTTTATTTCTCGTTGTCCCCTTTTTCTTACTAGTGGGACTGTCTGTGATACCTGAAAACATTGTACATGTTTAATAAATACAACTTGAATTTAATGCTCAAGGAAGACAAGATTTTCTCTCTTAATCAAATCCATCTTAATCCAGGGAATTAATTAGAGCACTGGTTCTATGGGACATTAAGAGGAAAAATGTTTTAAGAAAAGAGAAAAAATAGTTCCAAGGTCAAACAGATTTGAGGATACCTGGGTTAATCAAGTTTTTCAGGTTAATTTCCTACAGAACTTTTTCAGAGTCTTTCATATACTAACGTTCATTTTGCCCTCTCCTAAAGCAAATATAATCTGTAATATTTCTCAATCTATTTTCTCCCACTCATAATATTTTTATGCAACATATATATACACATAGACTAGAGTTACATAGAAACACACATCAGGAACTGTTGGTCTAGACCTACCCACAAACCACATCTTCTCATTCTCCCATTAACAAACTCAAATGATTATCAAGCTATATTCTAAGCATTTGGCAAAGCAAAACAGTCTGAGGATGGAATAAATGTTGAGGGGGAAAAAGACATGGTATGTGCACCCAAAGAGTCATGTATCTTGTGCCTGTATCCTGCTCTTATATATTCTGTTTTTTATCCCTATTTTCAACCTTCCTTGTCTAAAAGAAATAAGCATGGGTTTAAAAAGATACTAATGCAGAGAGAAGGGCAATTATCTTAAATTTGGGACAAAGACAGTGGAGATGATTAATACATGGATTTTATCCTTGCTTTTTGCTTAAAACCAAATTGTCTTTCTAAAAATAGAAGCATAAAGCATCACCATTTCTTTT